AATTTGCAGCCTTGATTGAGGTGGCCTGAATTCAGGGGGGGCTATTTTTGGAAACTTTCTAATGACGCAGCTCCTACCTATGGAAGCCCAAGATTCCCCCCCCCCCAGTGCCTGACATAAACTAGAAGCTCTGAATTTAGACTGCATGGTGGACTTGACTGAGTCACTGGTGCTTTCTGTTGTACTTCAACCTTACCCTTAACATGCTTTCAAGTAAAGAGAAAGATATTTGAAGATCCGATCACCAATTCTCATGCTGCCCCCCCCCCCAGCTCATCTCACATCTAGTTTGGTCTGAATTGTATCCCTACCAACAGGCAAGATTGCAGCTCTCGGCCTCCTAAAGTTTCACTGAAAGTTGCCAGTAGACCTCATTTGCAAAGCTGGCTCTAACAGTGGGCCGAGTGAAGCAGCAGCACCTGGGAGTGGGAGGGAAAGGGAGCTGATGCTGGGTGTTTGAGGACTTAGCTATTCTATGTGTGCCTCCTGACCTGCAGTGTGCCCCTAAGCTTTTCCATCACTGCTGCTGAAGTAAGTAAGAGTATGGAGTATGTCAGGGTATGGGTGTCATCTTGTCCTCTGCAAAACATCTTGGTCCAGTCCTAATGTGGTGCCTCAGAGCAGTCACCCAAATAGTTACTACTCTTCTGGCCCATACCATTTTCTCAGAAGGAGGTTCACCTCATGGAGAGCAGAGCAGGATTATGCCCTACTGTCATCACTCTGACCCTCATGAGTTGATCTGAAGATCAGGACAGATTCCTGGTGCACCTTCAAATGAACATACAGATTTTGAAGGGTTGGGTCAGCAGCTGTATTCCCATCCCTCTCCTCCCTGCATTGGGGCCACATGGTACTTCTTTATTAAAAATACTGTTATTTATCAGTTTCCATTTTGAAACAAAACATACAAATTGGCAAAACCTAAAATAAGATCAAAGTAACGTTAAGTTGACTTCCCCCCACCCCCTTTGTGGTTCCTTCCATATCCATAATAATTCCTTAATTATTTATTTTCTTTAACAATTTCCTTGTAAAGTTTTATTTACTGCTCATTTTACATTAACCCTTCTAACATTTTAAGTTGTTTGCAACAACTTTTCAAATATTCAATATTTTTTTCCCAATCTTTGTTTAAAATTCTTTCTTCCTGATTCCTTATTCTTCCTGTAAGTTTATCCATCTCTGCATACTCCATCAATTTTATCTGCCATCCATCCTTGGTTGAAACTGTTTCTTCTTTCCTTTTCTGCACATAAATCATCCTGGCAGGCACCATTACATACATAACAGGTTTTTTTTCCTTGGTCCTTGGGTATGAGGGCCACATGGTATTTCAGTGTGTGGAGAGATATTCCTAGGGAGCTGCCTTATACCAGGTCAGCTTGTTGGTCTGTCCGGACTAACAGTGACTCTACAACTTCTCAGTCCTGTCATCACCATCATCGCCACCTGATCCTTTCAACTAGAAATGCAAGAAATTGATCCTAGGACCTTCTGCATGCAGAGCAGGTCTCTTCTACCAGCAAATGATCTTGTCCCTGGTTCTTATGCTTCAGGGGTGGTGTCATGGACTGGCTGAACACAGATGAATGGTGGGAGGCACCAGCTAGGGAACCCACAGAGGAAGAAGACTCAGAGCCCGGGGATTGGCGGTGGGACAACAAAGAGTGATCAGAGGGAGAAGAGGGAGAAGACTGGAAGGAGGATGTGTCAGAAGCTGCAGGGGTAACAGGGTTTAGTGAGAAGGGAGAGTCTGTGGCAGAGAGAAGTCCAGAATCAGAATCAGAAGTGGAAGCAGGAGAGGAGGGAAACCAAGAGGCAGAGATGAGTCATGCTGGGGAAGAAGCTAGAGTGTCTTCCCTTCCTGCTGTGACAAGCTCCCCTCTCCCCTGGTCTCCTAGGATCAGGAGAGGTGTGACGTGGGAGGAGCAAAGGCAAGCTCGTCAGTGCAGTCTCAGATTGCTTCGGAAAGACCTGGGAGAGGAGGCGACTAAGGCAGCTGTGGGAAGGTGGGGGCCTTCAAATTCCACAACTGCCTTACAGGGGCAAGACCTACCAAAGAAGAGTTGCAGTGCTCATTAGGCACCAGACTCCTCAGCAGATCCTATTGCTTCTAATAAAGAGTTAACCACTTATTCCATGAGACTTATTGCTGGCTCACTGGCAGGTGGAGGAAGTTGCCACTTCTATGGCATTGTTTTCCATCTTGCCCATGTAAATTCTGGAAATCTCATGGTGGAGCAAGGCAACGTAAGGAGACCCTAGTGGAGCAGGCCGATGACCCATCCAGTTGATCATCTTGCTCCCATAGGTACCAACCAGATGCCTACTGGAAGCCCAAAATCGGGATCTGAGCACAACAACACTCTCCCCATTTCTGATTCCCAGCAACTGGCATTCAGAAGCATAATTGCTTTGACAGCAGAGGAAGAATGCAGCCATTGATAGCCTAATCCTCCATGGAACTGCCTAATCCTCTTTCGAAGCCATCCAAGTTGGCGGCCACCCCTACGTCTTGTGGGAGGGAATTCCATCGTTCTCCTCTGCGTTGCATGAAGAAGTCCTTCTTTTTGTCTGCCCCAAATCTTCGGCTTCATTGGCTGTCCATGAGTTCCAGTGTTTGTGAGAGAGGGGGAGCAAAGCTTTTCTCTGTTTATTCTTTTTGCAAGCCACCACCATCACCTGGGAGCTGAGGCCCATTCAAAAGCAGAGACAATGGCGCATAATGCATGCTGGTCTTCTCTTGGTAAAAGCTCTGAATCTGGCCATGGAACGCAGTCATGAAATCCAAGTCTCTGGCATGAAGAGCCTCAACGTTTGCCAGAGTTCTTCGGAGAGTTCCTGACTTGCAGGATGCTGCCTTTATAGGCTTCCTTCGTGGCTCTGTGCTGGTCTTCCGGCCATGCCAGTCGCATTTTACAGCTGGCCCCAGCTAGTGCTTCATAAATATTGAATGGTGAAGTATTTACATACTCTGTCTTGGGTTTATAAATAGCAACGCTGAGCGCCGTTCCCCTGGAGTCATCTTTGCAGATAAATTCCAATCCATGGTGTTTGGCCAAAGTCAACCGGAGTGGAAGGAGGGATCCTTCCCATGCCATGAGTCCAGAGTCTCTCTCGGCCAGAGGCTAAGGCCAGACAGCTGCTAAGACTTCGGGAGTTAATAGCACTGTGGAAAAGGTTAGGCTTTAATCACAGATCTTTGGAGAAATCTTCCCTGAACCTTGACTGAAATGTTTATTCGCTGCCTGTGGAAAGGGCAGCAGGCTCTAAAGGAAGTCCCCCCGTGGGAAGCTGCCTTTTTAACGAAGCAAATGCTCCTTTGGAGCAGAGGCAAGGGGGGAACATCTGAAGCCTTGCAGAGGGCTTTGAAGGAGGTGGGACCAGCTTAAGGTAGCTTCCTTTGCACAGAAAACAGCACTTGGTAATATAATGCAAAATGAGAAATAATAATAATAATAATAATAATAATAATAATAATAAACAACGTTTTTGTCACTACACCACCTGTGTGCAATGAAATTAAACGATAATTTGATTTTATCATTTTTTAAATTTAAAAGCTGGGTTCATTAAGAGTTCTTTCAGGTGCTTTATTATCCCCCTTTTCACATTAAAAAACACCAATAGGAAAAAGTCCAGAATATGCTCCAACAATTTGGTTTCTTGTAATGTTGGAGGAATCATATGGGAGTCTATGAGTGAGTCTGCAAAGCATTCTCTGTGACCATCCATCCATCTCCTATGGGTGCCTGGGAGTCAACTGGGAGGCAAGGCTTGCTTGGTTTAGGCACTAGATTGAGTTTCCCCAACCTGGAGCCCTCCAGAGGTTTTGTACTACAAATCCCATCAACCCCAACCAGCATGGCTGTATATGGACCAGGGAGTCCTGGGTTTAAATCCCCCATTGCACAGTGAAGACCACTGGGTGACTTTGGGCTAGTCACACTCCCATCCTAGCGTACTCACAGGGTGGTTGTTGTTGTAGACCAGTGCTTTCCAAACTTGGGTCTCCAGCTGTTTTGGGACTACAACTCCCACCATCCCTAGCTAGCAGGACCAGTGGTCAGGGATGATGTCCCCAAACAGCTGGAGACCCAAGTTTGGAAAGCAATGTTGTAGACCCTCCAAGTGTCCCTATTTTCCAGAGACAGTCTCAGATTTACAGAAGCCAAGGAGATATGTAACTATACAATCTTTAGAAGACATCTGAAGGCAGTCCTGTATAGGGAAATTGTTCGATGTTTTATTATGTTTTTATATATGTTCAAAGCTGCTCAGAGTGGCTGGGGCAACCCATTCAGATGGATGGGGTATAAATAATAAAGTACTCTTGTTGTTATGGAATAGGACATCCCTATTAATTGGAGAAATGTTGTAGGGTATATTGTTGTTAGGATAAAATATATACTACCACATATACTACCTTGAGATCCTCTGATGTAAGGTGAGATATAAATATAATTTTTTAAAATGAACAAATTCTGAAAGCACACAGAGGAAAATTGAGGAAGGGGCCTTGCCTGCTGCTGAACTGTTTCTGGATATAAGTTATGCAAGGAAGGTTCTCTGTGCCCCGGAGCATGCAAGTTTAATTACGACGGAGTATTGACCTAAATCCTTCCAAATTTGTACATACCTGGTCCTGACAGTTACACGCTTGTCCTTGTATGACTAAATTAAAAGATTTAGAAAGTACAAAAATGGTGCGAAGGCTAATTGTATTCCTAAAAGGCCCCAAGAATCAGAGATGAATTCAGCACTCTTTTTTAATTATGCAGCGAAACCCTTTGGAGCCAAAGAAACTCAAAAGAAGCCTTTAATGTTTTAATAGTGACCGTGTGTAGCACAGAGGGAGAGGGAGAGGGAGAGGGAAAGAGAGAGAGAGAATATAAGGACATCAGAAGAAGAAGAACACTAGTCCAACATCCTGTTCACACAGTGGCCAACCAGATGGCTAGAGAAGAAGAACAAGGAAGGGTGTTTCTCAAAAGACTTTCTCTCTCTCTCTCTCTCTCTCTCTCTCTGTGTGTGTGTGTGTGAGAGAGAGAGAGAGAGAGAGAGAAGTCACTTTATGAAAAATGCAGTGGATGTTCAGTCTAACTTGAGTCCTGACACAGATATATGTCTTCCTGGAACACAAAGGCACTCTGCACATGCCCAGATCTTGGTTCACACATGCTTGTCACTGACTGACATAATTCAGTGGTACCTCGGGTTAAGAACTTAATTTGTTCTGGAGGTCCCTTCTTAACCTGAAATTGTTTTTTACCTGAGGTACCACTTTATTTAATGGTGCCTCCTGCTGCTGCCGTGCCGCTGGAGCACGATTTCTGTTCTCATCCTGAAGCAAAGTTCTTAACCTGAGGTACTATTTCTGGGTTAGCGGAGTCTGTAACCTGAAGCGTCTGTAACCTGAAGCGTCTGTAATCCGAGGTACCACTGTAATCTGAATATTAATTTTCCACCTTTATCCTTGTTTGAAGAGTGCTTCCATGATTTTTCATTATTATTATTATTATTATTATTATTATTATTACACTATCAGTGTGTCTGGTTCTTTGCCAACTGCAAAACAGCAGCCCCCTGCCCTGAGAGGTCTGAAATTTAATACTTCTGGCTACCATTATAGCTTGCTTTCCAAACTGAAGGCCTGATCTTTCAGAAATTCAGAACTTCCAGGGTGAGGCCAGCTGAGTAGGGAATCTGTTTTCCCTCTCCCACCCAGGCAGCCTGCTGGACAGTCTTCAAAGTTCAATGGAGTTTGTGTGTGTTGTGGGTTCTTCATGAAGCCGCCAGGGCAAGACTTTAAAGCACAAAGCAGTGGTCATAGCTGCCTCATAAAGTGGGGCTGGTACAGTGTGATTCCCAGCCATGCTTTGGTAAAATAATGAGTTTTCATTGCTTTTGCAATAAAGTTTATGGAAGTGATAAAAAAAAATGAAGTTGCGTGGAGAAATGAGCAGTCACTGAAAAAAGAATTACCAAAATGCTCATAGCGTGAGGGACAAGAGGGCAAGAGGGAGCACAGCTGCAACAAAGCAAGCAGATCAATGAGGTAGTAGGAATCATGAATGGTGTGGAGGCAGCTACCTGGGTGCATTTTTGGTATGTAAATTGTCACCATGAGACAGCCTTAGGGCAATGGGGAAGTTTAACCCTCTGATCTCCTTGCCTGTACTCCTGAACCCCCCCCCCCCCAAGCTATTTGCATCTCAAGGGACAGCTCCCCTGGAGCCAAGAAGAGCTTATTTGCTGTTGTTTAGTCGTGTCCGACTCTTTGTGACCCCCATGGACCAGAGCACGCCAGGCACTCCTGTCTTCCACTGCCTCCCGCAGTTTGGTCAAACTCATGTTAGTAGCTTCGAGAACACTGTCCAACCATCTCGTCCTCTGTCATCCCCTTCTCCTTGTGCCCTCAATCTTTCCCAACATCAGGGTCTTTTCCAGGAGTCTTCTCTTCTCATGAGGTGGCCAAAGTATTGGAGCCTCAGCTTCAGGATCTGTCCTTCCAGTGAGTACTCAGGGCTGATTTCCTGAAGAATGGATAGGTTTGATCTTCTTGCAGTCCATGGGACTCTCAAGAGTCTCCTCCAGCACCATAAATAGAACAGCTTCTATTGAAATGCAAATATCACCTGCAGTGGGGGTGGGGAGGCAGATTTTTGGCAGAGCTGTGGCCAGCAGAGGAAGAGTTGCCCTGCCCATCACCAAGGAACCAGAGGCGGCTCAGGTTTCCCCATGGCTGCTATCTACACAACAAGAAACGTGCACAATTAGATGACACTTAGGGTCCCGTCCAACTTTACAGTTCTATGACTCTAAGCCAGTGTTTTTCAACCTTTTTTGGGCAAAGACACACTTGTTTCATGAAAAAAATCATGAGGCACACCACCATTAGAAAATGTTAAAAAAATTAACTCTGTGCCTATATTGACTATATATAAAGTAATTCTCTTGAATAGGAATCAAATAAACACAAAGAAAGTATTTTATAATTACTTTATTATGAAATAGTAAGTAAACAGAAATATGAAAAATTATAAAATACTTTATTCAGTGCGCAACCTGGGCCTGTTTGGCTGAACACAAAGCTGATATTCTGGCTGGAATCGAAGAAAGACACACACGTAGCTCTTCGTCAACAGCTCTCAGTCTCTCTCTGTATTTAGTTTTTATAGCAATCATGCTTGAAAAGCTCATCTCACACAGATCATCTCACACAGACCGACTCACCTCACGCTGCACCTGCGGCCTGGTCTGGATCCGGATGCGGTCTCTCTGCAGTGCCGACTCCCGCCGAGTCCTGGTCTCCGTCCGTCTCCTCCTGCTCCGGTCCTCCTGGTGACTCGAGTCATGACGTCTTCTTCTCTCCGCTGCTGCGCACACTGTGCATGGGCGGGAAGGAAGTCAGAAGATGATGTCCTACTGTGATAGGTCCAGGCTGGAGTCTGGACCAATCACAGGCCGGACATCAGAAAAGTGGAGGGTGTCCCCCTGAGGAGCGCCAATCGGCGCCCCTGCTGGCCGAGGGTGGGGTCAAAAAACCCACCCCCCATACCCAGGACACAGTCCGGTGCCCACCTAGTGGGCGAAAATTTGACATTTTTTTTAAAAAAAATCTTTCGAATTTTTCAATTTTTCCCATGGCACACCAGGCAACATCTCACAGCACACTAGTGTGCCGTGGAACAGTGGTTGAAAAACACTGCTCTAAGCAATGCTAGTGATGTGTGAAAAGGAGACAGAATGGGTGTTAGAGGGGGGCACATTTGGCATACTCTCACTGTGATCAACTCTCACCCGGAAGCCTATGTCCCCACTGTGAAAGGACGTGTGGATCCAGAATTGGCCTCCTTTGATGAGCACAGCTGCCTTTGCTGCCTTCCAGGTTCCAGGAGAATCCCACTCCGTTCTCTTGTGCCCTTAAAGACATTAATCGCATTCAAGAGCCTATTCTTTGTTTTTCTGCTGATTTAAAGTTATTTTATGTGGGCTCTTTTCTCCCTTTTCTCTTTTTGGTATGCTGGGCTTATTGTTTTTCTCTGCAGCCTTTATGGTCTTCCATAATGTCATTTTTGTGTGTGTAAGTCAGTTTTAAAGCTTTATTGCAAACCACCTTGAGGCCCTTTGGCTATCAGGCACGATCCAAAGATCGGAAATGAAAATAAACAACAGGGCTCCCATCTGGAGGAGTCTTTTTTGCTCCGCAAGATGTAGGTGGGGCTGGAGAACAAGGCAGGCACCATGGAGCTCTCTGCACCCATCACCCTGGATAAAACAATAGCCGAAGTGAAGGGGAAGTTCCAAGAGGCTGACAAATGGAAGGGGGGGGGGAGAGAATAAGAATGCATGTTCAACCCTTTAGTGTGTGTGTGGATTGATTTTGCCACACCCCAACTCACCCGGGAAGAAGACTTAAGATGGTTTGTCCCTAGGGAGGAATCAAGCTTGGCCTGTGACTGCTGTCTGGCCAATTGGGCTTTACAAGCTGGCTCCATCCCTCCTTATGCATTATTGTCTTTGCTAGTTGCCTGTTTGGGGGCTGAGTGGGAAATTTTGGGGGTAGTCTCTGATTGGCCCTGTGATTCCTCTTTTTCACCCACTGCGTACTACTGGAAGTCCTATCGGAATGACATTTTTTTGATGAGTTTTCATTCCGGTGGCAATGATAAGTTAAGATCTGGTAGGGTAAATACCTGTGACACTATGGGGTTAATAGCATTCTTTCGTTACCCTACTAGCATTCCTTGGTTTCTGCCTTGACATTGGCATTTTTTGGGGTACCCTTTAGGCTTGTCATGCGCTCCAGGTTAAATACTGGGCCAGCAGGGCCACAGTGCGCTTGTCAGGTTCAAATACCCAAGGCTCTCATAGCAAGGAGGGACAAGTCCTTCCCATCGGGATCACAGCTGGCACCTGTAAATGTGCCCAAGGGTGGGAACCTGATCCCTCCCACTTTAGTTCTGCTTTAGAGACACTTCCCTGCTTGGACCATGTTTTGATTTAGCTGTTTGGAGTTCCCCTGTGTCATTACATAGTTAGGGCCCCTTGAGTTTTCTTTATAGGCGTGAGGGCAATGCATGAGGAAGGAAAGAAGGTGGAAAGAAAAAGTTGGAGCCACCAGCCTGCCCTGGACCCCTGCCCTCTTTTTGTCAGTGTCTGCTTCAAGTTGTTTAGTTCTCTCCATCGTTGCAACAACCCAGCCCTCTCCCCGTAGAAAGGCTAGATAGAAAGGGGAGAAGGCCCCGTCACACAGACAAGCAGATAGATAGTCTTTGAACTAAATACCAAACACACCAGTCGCATTATAGCTTCACAGCAGGGTCACTTGTTTTATGCACCATGTCATAGTCCAATCCATTTCCAAGCTGACACTTTTGCTCCTCCTCCTTCCTAGCGCTGCTCTGTCTCTGGCAGCTGAATTCCCAAGGGGTTTCTTCTCTGCTCCTGTTTGAGCCATCCAGAGGGACTCTGCCTCTCAATTCTGGCCTGCTGTCTTGCCAGCTCACCCCCCGCAAGACAGCCATCCATGTTGACGCATCTCCCTGCTGCCACCTGCAGCGTCTGCTAGATTCTCCAGGGAACAGATACAAACTCAGATATTTCCCTCTCCTCACTTTCCCACCTTCCAACACAGGCAGGGATGAATTTGAATGGGTGTTGAGTGCCATCTTTGTGGTGTTTGTTTGTCCTGTGTCCAGCAGCCTCAGAATGCACCACTTTGGCCTTGAGTAGATTTGTGATCACCGAAGAATTGATGCTTTTGAATTATGGTGCTGGAGGAGACTCCTGAGAGTCCCATGGACTGCAAGAAGAACAAACCTCTCCATTCTAAAGGAAATCAACCCTGAGTGCTCACTGGAAGGACAGATCCTGAAGCTGAGGCTCCAGTACTTTGGCCACCTCATGAGAAGAGAAGACTCCCTGGAAAAGACCCTGATGTTGGGAAAGATTGAGGGCACAAGGAGAAGGGGACGACAGAGGACGAGATGGTTGGATAGTGTTCTCGAAGCTACCAGCATGAGTTTGACCAAACTGCGGGAGGCAGTGGAAGACAGGAGTG